CCAGCTTCTACAGGGAACCCAGTGAGCATTCGGTGCTGTGGAAACTAGCTGCCCATGGGGTATCTCTGCTGGTGTTATTAAGGAGCTCCTGGCAGCCTTGATGTCATCTTTGCTTTGCATGTATGCTATTCATGATGTGCTTTTAGCCAACAATCAAGCTTAAAATCCCTTCATTTATTAAACTGCTCATTGTCTCTGAATCAAAAAGAATCAATTGTCTGGGCACCTAATCACTGCCCTGACACTTGGCAAAACACACCATAGCTTTGTCTGGTCCATGAACTGATCCAGTGTTTCAAGATATTAATTTTAAAAAACAGGGGTCATATCACCAGTTTTAATCATTCTGAACTTACCATACCAGTATAATACCGTAAACCAACCACATTTCCTCGCAAAGTTCCAAATAACACAGCTGAATCTATATCTTCATCAATCCCTGAAGTAACAATTCCCATAATATCTTCTATGCCTGGATAAAATTCACGGGTAAAAACATTGTAATGCCTGTCTCCATACAAAGCAGGATCCAATTCCCACGAGAAGTCTCTATAAAAAAAAAAAAGTGGGCGGGAGCAGAAGAGTTAAAGCAATTTTTATGTAGGAAGTTATTTTAGATCAGGGTGTCAAACTGAATTTCTTTGAGGGCTGGGTCAGCATTGTAGTTCTCCGTGGGCCAGCGGGGGGTGGGGGGTGGTGCAGGGAGATGGGACAGACACTTCCTGCAGCACTTTGCTGGCCAAAAATGGTCCATGTGGAGGCCCCATGAGGCCCGTTTTCAGTTTGAAGAGGTACCCGGGCTGTTCCTTTGATATTTTCAGACCGGGCCCATAGGCCAGATTTAAGCACCTCTGTTTTAGGTCTTGAAGGTTTGAATTTGAGAACTTTTTAGAAACAAATACAATTACTTGACTAATTTATTTCAAGCAGTCCATTACCAAGCAAAGCCCCCCCCAGTTAATCACTCTCGTTATTACATAATTAAATTAGTAATTAGATTTATTTTTCTCCATGTACCTTACCTTTTTTTTATAGGAAATTAAAGTTAGGCCACGTCATTACTTGGATGGAAGACCACTAGGGATTTCCAGGCAAAAAGATGGATGCGTATGTATGTGCATGTGTGGAATAGCTTAGTCTAGGACCGGGATGGCGAACCTATGGCACCCGTGCCACAGCTGGCACGAGAGCCCTCTCTGCGGGCACATAAGCCATCACCCAGCTCAGCTCCACCGCACATATACGTACGCATCCCGCCAGCCAGTTGCTTTTCGGGATGCATGCGGGGCGCATGCGGGACACATGCACATGTGCAGGGGGGTCATGCACATGCATGAGGGGCAGAGGTTGTGCACACATACGCGGGTATGTGTGCAGTGTGCCCTCCCCCACAGCTCATTTTTGAGCTCAGGAGGCTGCAGGGAGGCCTGCTAGGCCCAAAATGAGGTGCGGGGGGGGGGGGTTTACGTGCATGCTGGGGTAGAGTGGGGGGTTGCGTGCACATGCGCAAGGGTGCGGGAAAAGCGGAGGGTCATGCGTGCATGTGCACGGGGAGCGCATTGCATTATGGGTGCTGGCACACGAGCACGCTGTCACGTGTGCACATGCACGCTTTCAGCACACAATGAGAAAAAGGTCAGCCATCACTGGTCTAGGATATCTAGTCTAGGATAGTTATACCATTTCTAATTTTCATGACTGACCCAATTTTATGACCTTGTTTGCAGTGGGTAATTAAATAAATGCCATAGTCATTAACAAAACCAATCGTTCACTATGGGAAGAGTTTTGCCAAAAACAAGAAGTAAATGGTTTATGGCAAAACTATCATTTAAAACTCAGTCATGTGATTGCAATATGCTCAAACAGCCGTAAACAGCTGCTAAATGCCCAAAGAATGGTCATGTGAGTGGAGGAAGGCATGAGTGTTGGAACTTGAATTCGCATCATAAAGAGCATAGACCATTTTCTCAATCTCTCTTTTTTTGAAAGAAGGTTGTTTCCTCAAAAATTCTGGGGTGTGGGGATGTTATTTAAAAATCTTATAAGCATCTTTGTTATGTGTTTCCCAGTCACTCTGGGCTGTCTCAGGTTTTCTCTCTTTCTCTACCTTTTAACAACTACATAAACATGCTGGGAAAATAATGCATTGATTTGGAGTACTGAATGACACTCAGAAAAACATCTAGTTGTGAGTATGTGGATATCTATGGAAACTCTGGAGTCATCCAGGTCATGGTTGTCCCAAAGATACTTTTTTTAAAAAGCTAAACTGTTTTCTTGAAGACATTTCATTTCTCATCTAAAGAAGCTTCTTCAGTTCTCAACTGAATGGTGGAAGATGGAAGGATTTATATTCTTTGCAGTCATTAGCAATCTTTCTGAGAAAAATTAAGGCCACCTGGAGATTTATTTGTGCCTTCAGGGTCACCTAAATAATGCAAATGGTGTGGAACCTTCTTGGAATTGCTAAAAGGGCTCTGTTATAAACACTCCCACTCTGTTGAGAGGGCTGTTCCACCTTAATGTAAATGGCCTTTGACACCTCTTTCAAACCATCTGTCCAGAATATGGACTTTGCTGTCTTCAAAAGCGTGCCCGGTCTTTCAAACACAAATGGATTTCTTCTTCTTGTGCCATATCCGTCATCGGACGTTGGCAATCATGCTGGCAATCCTATTTTTGTCAACAGCCGCATGAAAAAGTGCTGCTGAGTTTTGTCCAAACCAGCCCCTTATGTTTTGAAGCCATGATATTCTTCTTCTGCCTGGACCTCGTTTGCCTTCAAGCTTTCCCTGGAAGGATTAAGTGAAGGATGCCGTATTTTTCTGGGTGTCTCAAATGGACTGCTGAATCTTATCCTGATGGGTTTGCTTCCCTATGTTGTGCCATGCGCTTGTGAAGTGGTTATCCAATGAACAGATCTGTACTGATCTCGCTGCATTGTACTGTATAAATTTTGCTTTTTTTGGGTTCTCATCCAAAAAGCTTCTTCAGTTCTGAATGAAAGGTGGAGGGCCCCTTTCAGCAGTTCCATAAAGATTCCACACCCATTTGCACTGATTCAGGTGATCCTGAGGGCATAGATAAACCCCTAAGTGGCCTTAAAGGATTAGATGACAGCAGGCAATATAAACCCTTCCATTCCCCTCCACCATTTAGTCATAATTGAAAGCTTCTTAGATGAGAAGCAAAATGTCTTTTTTTGGGGGGGGGGGACAAAAAACAAAGTTCAGTTGCCTTTTGAAAAAGTACTTTTAGGACAACCATGACCTGGAGGCCTGAGAATCTCCATAGAAATCCGCATGCTCATTAGATGACAGTTTAACCATGATTTGCTGCATCAACCACAAACAACAGAAAACAAAGCAAAAGAGCCAAAAAGTAGAGTGGAAGAACAACGCCGCTACTTGCCGAGCGGCCCTTCGCCTCGCCACCTCCCCCTCAGGCCTTGGTTCACGGCCTCAACGGAGCTTTATTGTCCACGGAGGAGCCAACTCGGATAAAAGGTTTCGCTTCGTTACATGCTTGGTATCTTTGGATATCAGCCTCGTATTCACCTCAGGAACCTCCAAGCCATCACGACACCAGCCTGCTCCGGACGCCACCAGGTCCAAACGTTTCCTACAGGCCGCCGCGACCGTTACAGAGCTGCAAAAACCGCCCGACGCCTTCGCGTTGCCGGAGAGCATGCGCGCACCCTCATTGGGCGAGCACAGGGACGACGCCTCCAATCGCTGACATCGTCTCCAGATGTTTGAGCCAATAAGGAACTAAGAGGTAGTCGGTTCTCTGAGTTCCGTATGACTACGTTTCTATTGGTTGATTTAAAATTCATTAGTGTCCTGGGAACCAATGGGCTTTATGAACCTGGCACTGAATTTCTGATACAGGCATGAAAATATTGACTGTCCAAATATGCACGTGTCTTGACTGCTCGTTTGTCACATGATATTTATCACATTTATATCCCGGACTCTCGGCGATACACAAAATAATAGGCAAGAATTATATAAGAAATATAACACAAAATTCTGATCCAACACAATTCTGATGCGTCAGACCCTAAAAGCCCTCCGGAAAAGGTATGGCAGGGACTAACGGATATGGTTTCTTAGCTGTATTAAATAAAAAACAAAAAAAAATCCATTTTGGATCTATGCAAACTACTCTCAATTATTTAAGCAGGAACCTCTTCTTTATTAGGAGTTGGAGGTACGTCATGGGAATAGTTAACTTTTAATACATAAAAATTATCACCAGTCAATTGCAAAAAAACAACAAAAACAACCAAATAGCTACACTGGAAATAATTTACATTCTGCGACAATAACTTTAATATTATTCTTTGGGAAGGGCTCGATAGGTAGACAAAATTGCTAATCCAATCTAAGCACCTGCCTGACAGCGATCAACCATAAAAAATAATAGACAAAATGTTTTCTAGAATATGCTATTAGTGTTGCCATGGTTATTCTGAGATTTTTTTTTACCCAACGATTAAAAATTAGAAAGTTGAATTACTCCAGGGCATTTTACGAAAACTTAAAATCAATTACCCAAATGGGTCCCCCTTAATGGAATGCAACGATCCCTCTGAATACTGTAGTAACGTCTATGCCAAGTACACGTTCCACAGATACCTTTAAGAGTACATAAATTCTCTATGCACGTCTAAAGTGCCTTTCCACTCACTGGTAAATAAACGCAATCCCCGATCCCAACTAAAGTAACTTTTACAAGATTTCCATGGCAGACAGCAAGATTGGGCTGGCAACGCCTCTCTCTTGCGAAGAGGGCAGCGCGCAATCCTGTTCCACTCTACTTAGAAGTAGACCAGATTCGAGGAGAAGGTAAACCATGGCAGGGTGCAGCCTTCAGCCCTGTCGCCTTCAAGCAGCCTCGGATAGAGAAGCTGCCTTCGCGCGAAGCGGTGGCTGGATTGGGGGCGCGACTGACGCCTCCTTCCAGCTGACCGCCGTGGGGCGGGGCCCTTTGCGGAAGCGGTAGTCTTTGCAGCGGCTACAGAGGCGAGGGTTGCGCAGGAGGCAGTTGGGTTTTTGGATCCGACGCCTGGGCCGAACTGGAGCCATGGTGCAGGTCTACAACTTGCACCCGTTCGGGTCGCAGCAAGTCGTTCCTCTGAAGCAGGAACCGGCGCTCTTCTGCTGCGGCCGCGACGTGCTCCTGGTGGCCTGCGGCTCCGGCGCCTGCAAGGTGGAAGTGTTTGCGGAACTCTGTGAGCCGCTCGGCACCTTCAGTACCCTGGGCCGAGTGCTGTCCATGGCATACGGCGAAGTGGGTAAGCGCGAACCTGGCTGGAGATCCACAACAAAAAGAAAAGAAAGCAGTTCACGAACTACGGTGCCTTTTCGAAAGACCAGGCATTTCCTTCCTAAGCGAAGAATGGGCTCTCATACACCAGGCGGAAGCCAGGCTTTTTATCTTGATAGGCCATACACATTGGGGGGGGGGGATTTTGTGACCGTTTTTGGCCTGGTGGGCAGCCTTATCAAATGATTGCTTGGGGCCTTTGATCCTTTATAAAATCATGCCAGGAAAGCACTCGACCCTTTAGGAATTAGCTGGTAGTTAGGCAACATATACGTTTAATAAATAATAAACCTTTATACCAGAGGTGGGTTTCAGCAGGTTCTGACTAGTTCTGAAGAACCGGTAGCAGAAATTTTGAGTAGTTCGGAGAACCGGTAGCAAAAATTCTGACTGGCCTTTCCCCCATCTATTCTCTGCCACCCAAGTCCCAGCTGATCGGGAGGAAATGGGGATTTTGCAGTAACCTTCCCCTGGAGTGGGGAGGGAATGGAGATTTTACAGTATCCTTCCACTGAAGTGGGGTGGGAATGGAGATTTTACAGTATCCTTGCCATGCCATGCCCATCAAGCCACACACACAGAACCGGTAGTAAAAAAATTTGAAACCCACCACTGCTTTATACTCATTTCCAGTATCTTAATAACCCCCTTTTGTTCCCCTTCATACCTTGATACTTTTTCTGGGAAGGCGGAGGCACTTATAAAGTGTCTGGGGCTCATTATTGGTTCAGTGACAGGCTTGGGGGAAAAAGATGATGCTAGAGGCTGGAATTTTGCTTGCCCTATGCCAGTTTCCTATTGAATTAAAGGAAGAATCAGCTAGAGAAGGAGGCCTGTTGTAAGTATGGGCTTAATACTGTCCCCAGACAGCATATTGAGGATCCCCAAATATAAACTGTAAATCATGCCTTCAAAAAGCAATTATGAGGTTTGCACAACATCAAACCTTTAGTTTGAGTTTTAGTGTTTGAGAATTAATGCTTAATTTGAAGGCAACCTCATACTGTAATCACAAGTTTATCTTTCTAGTAACTTTGAGTTTCATATTTAAGCCCAGGCTTTGTCTAAGAATGCCGTTCCTCCTTATTCCATAGTCAATATGATCAGCATGGCTATTAACAAACTACTAGAATTTTCCTATTAACTCTTCTCAGCAGACATAAAAAACAAGTCTTTCCCAGTCTGTGATGTACACAATCTCCATGTAGTAAATCAGGGTATTGTGGCTAATTATGAGAAATACAAAATTACAAAGACTGATGGCACTGTTACGCATTTAGCACTTCTTCTGATGGAATTTCCGGCTAACTCAAAAACTTAGTTCACATTATACTTTGATTTACACACTCCTATGTTTCACTATGGCTTTTACATCTTTGGCCATGTTTTTTTCAAAATCAATGTTTGCTTTTCAGGAGATTATGTGGCCACTATTGAGGAGAAACACAGCACCCTCTTCTTCCGAGTTTATGTTAACTGGAGATGCATGTCCTCTGGCAGCTCACGTGTTTGTGTGCGGATGCAAGGTCATAACCCAGAAGCTTCCTACACTGAGACAACTAAAGAACAAATGTCAATCATAGAAATTCCTCTTTCTGATCCTCCCACATGTTTCTCCTGTTGCCCTTTATCAGGAGACCTACTGGTTGGCTGCAAGAATAAGTTGATACTATTCCACTTGAAGCATTTATTTGTGAGTGAGGATGTAAAAGTGCTTGACTTTGAACGTTCCTTAATTTTGCACATGGAGAAGTTCACCCCAACAGAAGTTGCATTTTGTGCAGGATATGTTGCTCTCACAGCAGAACTGGAAGTCCTTGTCTTCAAGCTACTAATTGGGGAGAAGGTAACTTCAGCTGGTAATAGCAAACAGCATATCTGTGAATCTGTAGAGCCTGAAATTCCCATTAATGAAGGTCAGTATGATATTTAAAATACCCAAATCAAGACTGCTCCCCAAGATCAGTTTTCTGGTCTTGACAAAAGCAGCATGCAGTTGGCCTTCATTCAACAATCATTCTAAGTTACTACAGTGCTGTATGAGCAGAACTTAACACCAGTCCTCATAGTTGTGGCCATTGCAGCATCCCCATAATCACATGTTTGCAATTTGGATGCTTGGCAACTAGCTTACAATTATGACATGATGGCATTCCACATTCATTGCCAGCTTCCAACAAGTAAAATCAATGGAGAAGCTGGCAGGAAGTTTCAAATGGCAATCACATGACCATGGGATGCTGCAATCATGTGAGATTCACCTAACAACGGCAACTGAGATTTCCAATATAAGTCAGAGTGGGGCATGTGATGTTGTGCTTTATGACTATAGAGATTCTCAATCATCCAGGTCATGGTTGTCCCAAAGGTGCTTTTTCAAGAGGCAACTGGACTTGTTTTTCTTTGAAGACATTTTGCTTCTCATCCAAAAAGCTGCTCCAGCTTTGACTGGATGGTGGGGAATGAAAGGATTTATATTCTTTGCAAACAGCTGGTCATTCGTGTTCTTTTAGAGAGTTGTTAGCATCACTTGGAGGTTTATCTGTGTCTTCCAGGTCACCTGGGTAGTGCAAATGGGCGTAGAGCCTTCTGAAAGGACTGTGTTGTAGATTGGAGATAGATGATGTTGTATCCCTCCCCCTCTGTTGAGAGAGAGCTGTTAATTTTGACTTATACGGCCTCTGGCCCCTCTTTCAAATCAGCAGTCCTTTGTGTCCAAAATGTGGATTTTGCTGTCTTCGAGAGTGACCATTATCTTTTAAATTCAGATGGATTACTGAATCTTGTCCTGATGGGTTTTTTCTCCTATGTTGTGCCATGCATTTATGAAGTGGTTGTTTTGTTTCCCCAATGTACAGATCTGCACGTCTCACTGCATATATCACATTGCTTAGCTTGTGTCTGGGTGTTTTAGTCTTGGGGTGGACAAGCTTCTGCCTTAGTGTATTCTTGGGTTTAAAGTGTGCATGTATGTTATATTGGCTGAAGATCCTCCTGGGCTTTTCAGATATGTGCTTTATGACTGCACTGCTTAGTGACAGCTCCAGTCCCAATTACTATTGGTAAGTGAGGACGACCTGTACAAGGTTAGGCTGGTAATGTTTCTTCTATTAATTTCTAGTCTTGAGAGTTGACATTGTATACTGACATTCTTTTCCACTTACTAAAGGTATAACAGAGGAAGTTGATCAAACTCAATCAGAATCAGATGGGTTTGTTTTCTGTCAGCAGCCCGTGGAACTTCTTGGAGAAGAAAGTAGCAAGTGTGAGATATCTGTTATTTTGGAGTCAATTAGCTTAACTGGGGAAGATTTAAATATTCAAGTGCAATATGTCCTATACAGGTAATAAAACATTGTTTATCATTAATGAATACATTTTGTAGATATGTATTGTGCATACAATACGCAGACTATTAACAGTTCCTCTCTGAAATGCAAGCTTTCACTTTGCCCTATAAGTAGCCAGATCAAAGCAACAAATACTATCATCTAATATCACCAGTTGGCTTGATCCACATACCTGGTTTAACAATCTGTCAAGCAAATCTTAGTAACCCAGTTCATATAATATGCTCACTGCAAAGTATATTTACAGCTTATAATAAGATAAAACTAAACAAAGCATCCTGTGGATATTCGCCTTTAGTTTCTACTGTCTATGAAGAAATTACAGTTTATGTAAGTATGTCAGCAGCTTACATAAAATATAAAATGAAACTTCTGTGGTTTAGTTAAAATAAAGTAGGAGGGGTCTTCCAAAACAGCATAAACAAAATGTTCTTTTTCAAAGCAATGGATAAATAGGCAATGTTAAAATCATCTCTGTCTATATTAATTTGTCTCTTCAGCTGTTAGGGCAGAGTACATATGTATATAGTTTTCCCCCTAGTGATGATAAAACTGCAAGCATACCCTAAAAACTACTTATCTTGCTGGCATGATTTCCTCTCCAGTATATAGGGTTGTTCAAACTTTGAAAATGGAGCATTTCATGTTTCTTTTTCCAGCAGCAAGTACTAGCTAATATAGTGATATATTCTACTGATTATGTTGATGGCTGGCTGGGGGATTCTGGGAGTTGAAGTCCACCCATCTTCAAGCTACCAAGGTTGAGAAATATTGCCCACGGGCATGTGATTGCATTTCAAGTGCTTGACAACTAGATTACATTTACAATAGTTGCTGCCTCTTATGGTCATGTGATTATGGTCTGGGACTTTCTCAGCTGGCTTTCAACAAGCAAAGTCAATTGGGGAAGTCCGATTCATTTACCCACTGTGGGATTTGCTTAACAACAAAACTGTGGTAAAAATGCTTGTAAAATTGGTCCAGACATGCGATGATTTGCATTTACAACCACACTGACCTAGAGCAGAAATTTCAATTGTGAGAGGACTACTTGTAAAAAAGTATTTACTAGTATTTATACTGGATCTTTTTACCTGTAGAAACTATGGTATGTAAGCCATTTATTTGGTTTCCATGTTAAATAAAAGGTAAGATAAGAAACAAAGGATGGAAACTAATCAAAGAAGATCTAACCTAGAAATAGTAATTTCCTGACAGAACAATCAACCAGTGAAATGGCTTGCCTTCAAGAGTTGTGGGTGCTCCATCACTGGAGGCTTTTAAGAAGAGACTAGACAGCCACTTATCTGGAATGGTATAGGGCCGTGATGGCGAACCTATGGCACGCGTGCCACAGGTGGCATGTGGAGCCATATCTGTGGGCACGCGAGCGTTGCCCTAGCTCAGCTCCAGCTGGCATGCGCATGCCAGCCAGCTGATTTTCGGGCCTTCTGGGCCCAACAGAAGTCGGGAAATGGGCCGTTTCCAGCCTCCAGAGAGCCTCTGGGAAGGGTGGAGAAGGCCGTTTTCGCCCTGCCCAGGCTCCAAGAAAGGCTCTGGAGCCTAGGGAGGGTGAAAAACGGGCCCACCGGGCCCACCAGTATCCTTTTTGCCTTCGCGTGCCAAAAGCATGAGGGGCATGGGGGGCATTGAATTATGGGTCTGGGCATGCATGCGCACGACCCCCACTTTTGGCACGCGATGGCAAAAAGGTTAGCCATCACTGGTATAGGGTCTCCTGCTTGAGCACAGGGTTGGAGTACAAGATCTCCAGGGTCCCTTCCATTCCAACTCTGTTATTCTGTTCTAATATACCAAAGAAACAATAGGAACACCTACAATGTCTTATGTGCCAGTTTTAAGAGGTTACTTTAGCAAAAAAAAAAAAAAAAAGCAAATTGTTAGAACTGTTAAGGAATGCTCAAAGTGGAAGACTAGTCAGTCTTAAATACTTGTTTGCTAATGCACAGAGATCTTAACAGATTTGCACCCTACTTAAATTGGATGCTCCTTCTGCAGGAACAGTTTCCAATTCAATATGAAAGCACAAGAAATTGCATAAAGATTCCTGTGATTTCATTGTAAAAGTAGAAAACAGCTGGCTGATCTTCTCATTTGTCACTGTTCTTTGTAGACGTTTTGCTCTTGATGTGTCCTCATTTCCTTTTTCTGTTGAAGATGCCAAACTGCACTCTCTTCAGCTGCTTCCAATACATGAATCAGGTACATTTCTGAATCTACAATATGATTATGGAAGTTGTGGAGAAATACACCCTATTTTCAATATTAGATTATTGTATGATAGACAAAGCTATAGTTTATAATGAAATATTTTCAATAAATGTTTTATTGAATTAACGCATTGCTTAATGTTATTTAAGCATTAAATAAGCATTAAGCATTAAATAAACATTAAGCAATGCGTTATTGCTTAACGCATTGTAAGCCGCCCTGAGTCTCCGGAGAAGGGTGGCATATAAATCAAAAATTTTTTAAAAAAATGTAATACCATATATTGATAACAAACTTTAATTTCAGTAACCTAAGAAGTTGGGTCAGAGTCATATTTAAAATAGATTTTTTGTGAGAATTTCAGAATCATAAATCCAATCATAAATTCGAATACTGTGACAATTTAGAAATTTATATAAATTCAGTTGAAAGTTTCTGAGGGTTACAGTATTTTTTTTAATGATCCATTTTGAATTCATTTTTTACCTTAAAATTTCCTTTGAGTTACAGCTTGTAACATGATGTAATGAAGTTGGATGGAATAAGACAAGGATCTATTGATTATGAGAAAAGACTGTGTTATATTCAGGCATTGTCCACTCTTTGCATCCAATTAATGGCAAGATCCAAGGATCAGAACTCCAGTTCCTGTTGGGTTTAATGTCAAATTCATCAGTGTAATATCAGTTGGATCTTACTGAACTAGGTTGAAAATCTTGGTATCCTGACATTTTGGTATTTTGTAATGGGATGTCAAATATGGTCTTTCCAAAAATGTCTTCATTCTATGCCATGCATATATTAGTTTTCCAGGATATGCAGAGGTTAACTCTTAAAATTGCAAGGCTCTTGTACTCAACCCACAAAACATCTCCTAATTCATATGGTATAAATGGTAATCTAGTTTTAGATTCCCTAATGTTATTAACAGTAATTTTGCTTCAGGATCAAGCTTTGCAACATATTGTTGCACCAAGAAGCTGTCCAACCAGTCATTTTTTTCTTCTTCAAGAATGTTCCTATTGTGCTACCTCTTGCTTTTATTTTCTCCCATCAGAATGCCAGAATTCTGAGTCCACTAAATATACTCAATCCTCATTAGGTTGTTTGCAGGGAATTTTTCCTCTCCCTTTGGTGTTATCCACAAGGTTTGTCTGGCTTTGTATTTCTGTAAACTTCAAGTTCTTTAAGCCTTCTGATTTTTTAAATATGTGGACGGCACCATTTTTGCTATAGTTGAATTGATGTTACAGAAAGCTTGTTAGCATATATCTTCCTTCTCCAGTTTAATGGTTTCTTTATGTGTTGAATTACAGTGCATGATCCAGAGACACTTGAATGAGATGAATGGCCATACAAATCAAATAATATTCATTATCACCATCATCCTAAATTAGATTAGCCAAACCCCCTATAGTTCATGTAATTCAGAGTTTCTAAAGTTGTTGGATCGAGAGAAGGCTCAAGGATTGCACCTCTTACCTAGTATCTGGTGCTAGATGTTCTCTTTTCTCTTTTTTCATCTAGGGGCTTCTGTCACGGCTAAGGAAGGAGATACAACTAAACAAGAATTCCTGAGTTTGTTTTGCTTTTTCTCTCTACCGCATGTGGCATACTTATACACAATCAATAATTTAGTGAAACTTATTTCTACCTACCAGTATTCAGAAAGATCCCAGCAAGCAGTTCTTACACCCCAGTTCCTGCATGTCATTACAAGGTATCACAATTTTATTGTCCATCATCCTTCACTGAGGTCCAGAACATTCCACCAGTGGTTCAAGTTCTGTGTTGAGAAATGGGTTGCAGAGTTTGAACACAGCTGGCCAAGAATATATATTGATAAGAAAGCAGTATTTATTTTTGGTTCACCAAATATACAGGACAAAATTCCCCATGGTGCAACATGAAACGGGGCAGGAATTTAATGCTGGAATGAAAGAAATTTTATTTTAGAAAATCATTCTCTAGAATCTATCTCTATCTCTAGCTGATTAGTTCAAGCAATAGTTCTATATATTTCACAGTGTGTTGTGTTTACATTAATAATCATGATTGTGTTTTCTTCAACCTGATATTCTATATTGCTTTGGCATTTTACCCTTAAAATTCTCCTGCTTGCATAGTCTTTTAGGAACTGTAGTTAAAACACGTTTGCAAGGTAATATATTGGCAGTGGGCTGATGGATATATTCCAGCCTAATTTCTCTTTAATTTTTCCACTTAGCAACAACCTGCAGTGCTTTACAGTGAGATGCAGTGCAGTAGCAGCTCGGAATCAAGACCCCTACATTGATACAACATTAAAGGTGCTCTGATTCATTTCTGAGATTAGCTTTGTAGGCAACCTTTTGGCAGCTGTTGACCTCATTTAACATTTCTTTAGGGCAAGAGTCATGGTGAGCACCACCCTGACTCTTGCCCTTCCAAGGATCCAAAAGAGAAGCTCTTCTATACCTCTAGACAAGACCAGGGTTGTTCTGGTTTACTAAGTTTGTATGGGGATGGGGGGTAGTCCAGAGGACAACGGAAAGAAAAATGATATAGAGATTGGCTTCCAAAAGATGGGGTGGCACACATGGACCAAACAATAAAAAAATATGTGTCGTTTTCTAGAGTAATTATCCAGGAATGATAACCAGATGAAATATAGCAAAGACTGTCAAAATTCAGTCAAGGATGAAAATAACCAAGACAATCTATTAAGTCCAAAGGATAAGTTGTAAAGTAGGTCCAGAGAGCCGGGCAGGTCCAGAGAACCAGATGAGGTAGTCATGAAAGAGGAGAGCAAGGCTATTTTTGTGATTAGGCTGTTTCAATGAACAATTGAGTCTCCATCCCAGCCTGTTGACGTGTTACAGATGTACAAGGGGAAAGGCTTTAGAACAGTGTTTCTTTGAACTCAGCAACTTTAAGATATGTCAGGACTCCAGCATACTGGCTGGGGAATTCTGTGAGTTGAAGTTCACACATCTTAACGTTGCTGAGGTTTAGAAAACCTCAAACGCTGCTTTAGAGGTAGCATTGACTAGTTGTGGGATGGCTTCATGGTTAAGATGAAAATGAAGTTTGAAGAGTTCCAAGATGGACACAAAAAGAGGAAAGCTAATATAAAGTGATGTGCATTTCAACAGAAAAATCCTAGCTTCATCAGCCTATTTGAGAAATTTGAGCTGCCAGTATCTGATCAAGGAAGTTATCTTGATTAGATAGTTCAGTGAAAAGTAATTTAAACCCCATTGGGTCTTTTTTCCAGTAAATATCTCTTGGAACACAGATGTCTGGATATCATTCCACTCTCATTGGGTAGCATTTATATTAGAAGTGTTCAGAAGCACTCCTAATTTACTATATGCCTGAATGGTATTTAAAAATGCAAGTGAATTATTAGGAAAACAAAATGAAATAAAATATCCTTGTAAATATATATATAATTGTACCATCATCACACTTCATAAAGCTATTATTAGAAGCCCACAAAGATTTAAGAAACTTTAAAATAATAAACCTTGGGCTGATTTTATTACCCAGTTTGGGGAGATTTTTTTTTTTATTCATTTATTTATTTATTTATTTATTTATCAGGTGGGATACCACCTGATTTTCAGTGACACTTGGAGCAACTTTTAAGGAGCAGGTCGATGGATGAAGCGATTGGCCAACTTGGGATGCCTTGAGGTCACAAATGGGTGCTGGAGGATGCCAAGTGATCCATTTTCTGTTCTAGAGAATTTAAAGATATAATAATGTAAAGATACACTGTTTCTTCACAGGCTTGTCCCCCTGTGTCGCTTGATGTTTGTACCTTGAGGATGCAGCTTTTTATAGGACTGAAAGCCATCTCTCACTTCAAACACCATATCATCATTTTGACAAAAGCAGATTCTGAGGACTTTCTCGAGAAAAAAACACTTAAACGAAGACTCCTGTAAGTATAAAGGTTTTGAGTTTTGGGGGTGGGGGGGTGGGGGCAAGATTTTGATGTTTGGGGTCAGAAGGAGGTCACTCAGCAGCTGATCATTTTGAGCATATATTCTTGCCTTTCTATTACTATTGAAAGAATTCTAAAATAGCTGACAAAATGATTACAGTTGTAAATTTAAAATTCACAAGTGCCTATGTATCCTTTCAGTTACCGAAAGACTGATAACACCAAACCCAAGGCTCCACCAGAATCTGAACCTGGTTGGAATTTGTATATTGTGAACACAACTTCAACTCTCCAACTCTACAGAGAAATGGTACTATACTATTCTGCATTTATTTTATTGACTTATAGGAATGGAATGATGTACTGTGTCATAACATAAACCTGAAAGTGACCCCTTTTTCTGCTTTAGGTAGACTACAGCAAGACCTATGAAAACGTAAGAACAGAGAGTTGTATTCATCTCTTAAGTGAGGCTCATTTGCTAGTCAGAACAGCTTTAATGGATCCTGCTCTGAAAGACTTGGATGAGAAGGAACCTCTACTAGCAGCATTTCATGAGAGTTGTGCTCTTCTTGGAGACTGTTACAGCAGGTTTGAATATTTTGTGCAAGAAAAATCTTTATTCAGATCATATCAGGGAGGGAATTATACTGGGAACTTCATTGGAGAATTGTCTTCTTAAAGACCATGCACTCCCTTAGAGGCCACCATAGTAGGTTAGCACTACTAAGTTCCAGGGGTAAAATGCTACCGGTTCACTACGGGTCGGGCAAACCAGTAGTAAAAAAAGCTATTGGTTCGCCCGAACTGGTAGTTAAAAAAAGCTACCGGTTCCTCTGCCGAAACCGATATTTCCAACAATCAGCTGTCCTGCGCGGTTTAGCTTTGCTAGAAAGCAGGAAATCCTGCTTTCTAGCAAAGCTAAATCGCGCAGCACAGCTGATCCCCCACTCCGCTGTTCTACTTACCTTCGCAAGCCTCCTTTTGGTGCGTACTGCGCATGCATGCGCATGCAGCATATGTTTGGTGCGCACTGCATGCGCACGGTGCCCATGCACAACCAGCAAACCGGTAGCAAACCAGTTCAGATTTCACCACTGCTATGTTCATGTCTTAAAGAAGATGAAGTAACCCATCTACATCTTCAGCTTAGCTAACAGAAAGTAGGGGAGAATAGGTCAGCCCAAGATATGTATATATTATGTATATCTATATATTATCACATATACATCCACTGTGTGTGTGTGTGTATACACTAATGGAGGATTCCAACTGATTTGAACTGCAAGACCCATAATCTTTAATGATAGCAGAAAATGGGAGTTGTAGTCAATTCATTTCGAGAACGCAGAATGTCTAGGAAAATAAAGGATTTTGCAATAATTCTCCCAGTCCACACCTTTTTGCTTGTTTTATATAGGACATGATTAAGAAGCAGCTTGAACTTCTGCTTTCAACTGCCCACATTTTTATTTTTTAAAAAGCAATTTTATTAAGTTATAGAGTATTATAAAATACAAAAGTAAATAGAAGAGCAGTGAGGGGCGAGGGGAAAGGGGGGAAGGGAGAAGTATTGACTTCCGACTCTCTCTGTTACAGTAAAATAAGGCATTAACATAAAATCACAGCTTTTTGCTTTTGCATAATAGTATGAACAAGTCATTTCTATAAAGATCTATCAGTCTAAACTGTAAAACCCAAAGTCAGAGTTACATTCTTTCCCACATCAAGCACGAAGTTCAGAAGCAGTTTCCATGTGGAAACAAAAGTACTTATGTTCTTTTCTTTAATCAAAATAGTCAGCCAACTCCATCAATTTCTGCAACCATTCTTCCATGGTAGGAATCGAAATGTCCTTTCATCCCACATTTTTATTGAAAGGAGTCTTCTCTAATATGCCAGAACAATATACACAGAACTTCAGAAGCTTCATAGTTAACCTAGCACGGATCTTGTCTTCATCTTCTTCTCTGCTTCTATTCTCCAGCTCTGTTTTCCTAATTTTGTATCTGGTCTTTACTTGTCTATTTTAAGAGCATATGCTAAGTTTGAAAAGAGAGTATGAAGTCTGAAATTTCCCAATCTAATGGTTGAACTTAATATTCTGTAAGTTATTTTCCATATCTTGGTTTCCTCCAGTGGTCTTTGAATTACAGTTTCTCGAATTCCCAGTTAGAATTAAAGTAAAATCACTACTTTAGAGATTGTGGAGGAGATAAACAGCCTGGAAAAGACTAAAATTTAAATCACCTAAGAAATTTTTTGAATGAGCTAAATTAGAGACCCATTTATGAAAAATAGCATGTTCTCTTCCTGCAAAATAAATCTGATCTGCTAGCTATGTGCCTGTAGTTTCAGCGCAAGACTATCGTAAGGCCAACTCTAATTTTAGTTACCCGTACAGAGAAGATGTTTGTTTTATTAAAGTGCTTGTATTAAATGGGTTTTAATGTCTTTTTTGTTGACTTCTATTCTTTCAGGTTTGACACTAAAGACTTCCATCTTGCACTCCCTTACTATAAAATGTCCAGCCTTTCTATATCTGACATTCTGAAGAGAGTCACATTTGAAGATAAAACACAGAAGTATGAAAAAGGTTTTATATTCTACTTGCACCACTCCTTGTATGAAGACATAGATGAAAAGCTAAATGAAGTAAGATGATGGATTTCTTGGTTGTCCTTTTTCCATAAGAAGGTTCATGTCTTGTGTTGACTCTTGTCTTCCATTCACAATGATAAACAGAATCAACCGAGTAAATCAAGCATTTAAGAAAATTAGTGGGACTAATTTCTGTTACTGTTGACCACCAGATTGTTAAATAAATATTCAGGGAAACGGCAACTACAGTGTTTCTGAAATTAGACCTGCTGAACTTAATCCTTGGTAAGTGGATTTAGGATCGCAACCTTAAACAGAGAATAGGTTTGCTATTATACACTGAGAAGCTATAGTTCCCCATATAAAAGAAAGCCAGTTTAGGATAGAGCTATGCCTTGACTTATGACCTGTCACTTAGTGACCATTTGAAATTACTTTTAATTTTTTTTTACTTTATTATATAAAATATAAAATACAAAAAGAAAATAAGAAAATAAGAAATTAAAGACAAGAAAGTGGGGTGTGGAATACAAGGGGGAAGAGAAAAAGAAAAGGAGGCATTAACTTCCAACTCTTCCTAACTCAGTACAAAATAAACACACTCCAGCCTCAACGTTTTGCTTTTACACGTTAATATATAAGTAGCCATTTCCATAACTCCAAATCTTTCTAATCAACAAAACCAAGATCAAAGTTTCATCTATTTTTTCTTCACAAGCAGAAATTCCAGAAGTGATATCCATACAAGAAACAGAGTTTTTCTTTAAACTGGTACATCATTTTCTTTTACTTTCTCTTAATACAGGTACTCTCAAATACATTTTCAATAGCTTTTGCTTACTTTAAGAGTTACTTAAGCATTGTGTGTGTCTGTTTAAAAAATACATTTTCAAATTTTTAGTTAAACCTTTCAGTTGCACATACCAGGCAGAGGAAAATGCATCCTGATTCCAGTTAACTCATTAAGTTTAAGTCACTTCTTCTAGCTTATCTTCATGGAGTAAAATCTTTTTCTTCCCTGGAAGTATCAAAAACTTGTAGTCCTTTCTTTTTATCACGAAATCCTCAACTTTGTTAATGTCCTTAAAGAAAAAATCCCAAATTTGTCTTTTTTTTCACCACTCTTCTTTCAGTTGTGTTGAGAGGTTTACATTTGAACCATAATAGTGAGGGTGAAAATGAAAGTTAACTATCCAGTTCTTCCTGCAATATACTCCTCTGCATCTTCAGCAGTTTGGTAACCTTCTCCACATGTTTTCATCTCAAAAATTCTTTAAGAGGATTTTTTATCATCAGAGAGCAATTGGCCCATAAATTGGCATATTTTATTTAGAGATCTTTCAAATATATATCTAATACTTTGCTCCACGGCCTTGGCTTCTTCTTTTAGTCAGAATGGACACCCAAAAATGTACTTGACCCTGATTTGGAATTGCAGTGGCCACTTACCCACCTCCCTACGGTCATGTGATCATATTTTGGGTACTCGGACACATTTATGGCTGTTTGCAGTATCCCACGATCATGTGACTGTGATATATGGCTTCCCCTCCCCTGAAAACCGGTGTTTACTTCCATTTCCATTTCAAATGTCCACTGTGGACAATGGATTTGCTAAACCATGGTGATTTGCTTAATGAAAAAAATGTCATAAAATCAAATTGATCATTTGATGACCTGTTTAACAACCAGCATGAATTATAACTGTAATTCTGGGTTCAATTGTGGTTGTAAGTTGAGGATCACCTATGGTATATGGTTAAGGCACTTGGCTAGAAACCAGGAGACTATGAGTCCTAGTCAGTGGTGGGATTCAAATAATTTAACAACCGGTTCTCTGCCCTAATGATTTCTTCCAACAACCAGTTCACCAAACTGCTCAGAAAGTTAACAATCGGTTCTCCCGAAGTGGTGCGAATCCCACCACTGGTCCTAGTCCTGTCTTAGCAACAAAACCAGCTGGGAGACCTTGAGCCAATCATTCTCTCTCAGCCTTAGGAAGTATGCAATGGCAAATCCTTTCTGAAATCTTGTCAGGAAACTACAGGGACTGACACAGGCAATTGCCAGGAGCCAAGACTCACTTGAAGGCATCAAAAATAAAAATCATTCTTGACAAGTCTATTTCCTGATCACATGACCTATCTCAAAAGACTGACAGTTGTCAGGGATATCTTTGAGAGTGTTTCTTCTCCCACCATGGCAAGGATTTCCCAGAGTAGTTTATATTCTGGTAAATGGCTGTAATTGGCCAAGGCAATCCTGACTCTGCAAGTCTCCTTTGACAATTCTGTGAATCTTGTTGTTTTATTATGACCTTTTAGAGAGTTTGATAACCGCTGATTACATTTATGCCTTGTGTTATAAATAAGAGCATAACAAAAACTAGATTTATATATCTGTTTGCGTTTTTAGGATGTGGCTGCAAAAGTGCTTCAGATATTCCACCGTGCTGAGCCAAACCAGATACCCCACATCCTCTGCAGTCCTTGCATGAAAAATGTGTGCCCTGAAATGGCAATGGAGTATCTGGAATTGATAGAAAAGATGGCGCCGTCTTTTCTGGTGACATTGGTCAAGGCTTCAGTTGCTCTGAAAAAGGGGGATCGGGATAGATGTAAAAAGGAGCTGGACAGCCAAGCAGAGGTACATATCATTGGGGGATACATATCATACATACATACATACATACAATTACAGCACAATAGAGGCATATATTTTTGCTGGGATTTTTTTTAAACAAATTGAAAAAAATGGAATTAGCTACCATTCAAAATGTAGAGTGGAATCCACCAGCTAGATCTTGTATTTTATCTGCAGATGAAATTGGTATGTGGTTTTATTCGGGAGCCAAGACTTCTAAAACAGCACATTAAAGGACAGATGTTCCCAACTGAACTTGCTTTGTACCTCAAAGAGACCAGACCTGGATTTCTCCTAGCTTCATTATTGGCTTTACATGAGAATAATAAAATGGAGCTGGAAGAAGCAGGCTCTTATATCAAGGTTTGTTGTGCAACATATTTTGTTCCTTTTATTTATATATTTATTTAGGGAATTTATATGGCCGCCTACTCGCTCATAGTGACTCTAGGTGGCTTATAAGCAATAAAAATATAGTATAGAAAATAACATAAAATAAAAAACATAGCTCCTACTCCCCCACTCCTTATAGTTAAGAACTGCAAAAATAGTTCTATTTCCAGTCTGCAGATTTTATGATTAAAGGATATAATATATAAAATATAAAAGTTGGAGTCATTTTTTCTTCCTACTCTACGAAAGAGAGGTATAAAGAATTCAATAGTCTTAATTCATGTAAAAGATAATACAGCCAAAGGTTGATTTGAATTGCTGTCACTGGGAAGCATGGCTTTTAATGGGAAAATAGCATGCAATTGAACGTTATAAAAGCAATAACAATTTTAAGTGTGGATTTTTTTTCTGGGAAAATACATCCATTCTTCCTTAATTTTGTACTATAGCTGAATGTAATAGTTTGATTCATGCATATCAGTTAACCAAAGTAAGGCTTGTTTGCAGTTCATCCTTCATTTTGGAATTAAAGTGAAGAGTTTAAAGCTTAGCAGTATTTAAAACAAGCTGATTGAACACTGGAACAATCTTGGATAGCCAGTGACCTCCACAGCTTTTGAGGGGAAAAGAACTGCAGTGGTGGACAGTGCAAGTAATTCCTTCTTTTTATATTTTTGGAATGCAGATGCTGAGTGGTAAAAATGAAGATGCTGTTCCCCAACTCTTGGTAGACTTCTGGGAAGCTTTGCTTGTAGCATGTACTCAGGAAGAGGTTGCACAGAAGTTGCATTTTAAACTTGCTACACAGTATATTTGGAGACTTTCCAGGAAAGAGCTTCCTGACACTGAGCCTCTAAAAACCACTGAAGATTTGGTAAAGAACTTTGGATAGGGAAGAGAGACACTGCATAACTGGATGAGCCAAGGCTTGAATAGCAATAGCAATTCTTGACTTATATACAGCTCCATAGTGCTTTACAACACACTCTGAGTGGTTTACAGAGCCAGCATATTTAGTTAGTTAGTTAGTTTGTCAAACATGTACGAGATAACAGCTATAAGTATAAACATGGATATGAACATAGGAAATGGGTACTAATAAATGGGGACAGTAGGTCAGGGACAAGAGGCACGTTGGTGCGCTTATGCACACCCTTTACACACTTCTTAGGAATGGTGTGAGATCCACAGTAGACAGTTTAAGATTAAAGTTATGGGGATTTGAGGATGTAACAACAGAGTCAGATAGTGCATTCCAGGGATTGACCACTCTGTTGCTGAAGTCGTATTTTCTGCAATTGAGTTTGGAGCAGTTTACTTTGAGTTTGTATATATTGTTTGCTTGTTTATTATTGCAGTTGAAGCTGAAGTAGTCATTGACAGGTAGGATGTTGTAGTAGATAATTTTGAGTACTACGCTTAGGTCAGACCGTAGGCGGCTTAGTTCTAGGTTGTCCAAGCCCAAAATTTCAAGCCTGGTAGCATAAGGTATTCTATTGTGAGCAGAGAAGTGGAGGACTCTTTTCGCTCAATTGTATTAATGTCCGATGTACAGTCTGGATACACAATAATCTGGGTCCTCATTTTACCAACCTCAGAGGGATGGAAGGCCGAGTCAACCTTGAGCCAGTCTCGATTGAACTCCATTCTAACCACTGTGCCATCATTTCTTATTTTCCTACAATGTCAACTGTATTAGAGATTTCTGTAGCATGGACAGCACAGAGAGTACAGTATCCTGTGATCTTACTAATATAGCCAAGGGAAATTGGGCTGGGTAATTCTTTGCAAAGTTTAATTTGAGGAAAAAAATGATATATTAAATCCCCAAATATCAGCAATAGAGAATACTTAAGAGAGTTGATACTGTTATGAAATTGTTATTTACCTGTCTAAATGCACAATTAAAAATATTTAATCATTAAAGGTCTTGCATTTCTTAAGAAAATAGTGCAGTTTCAAATGGTAGGTTATTGTGATTATTTTTAAATTAAGTAAAGATGGCTATCTTTGCAGTAAATGTTAAATGGGATTAGAAACCTGAATGTAAACATGCTTGCAGTGCAAATGACTGTCTTTGTTTTTTTACAATATCTTTTGTTTGGTTCTTTCAGATAAATTCCTGCAGTGATTATGGACTTATATTTTCTTGGATTATATTCATGATGTCGTTAGTACCTCTTCCTGATTGGAATTCATGTGATGACCTTTCAAAATTACAAGTATGACATATGTTCACACACATGATCGATCTCCCTCCCTCCCTCCCTCTCTCTCTCTCTTTTTCTCACTCACTCACTCACTTGGAATTATGAAAATACTCTTGGGAGCCTTTGACATCTGTGCAAGTGTGAAGATAAGTTGCTCATTTTTTTCCATTTTGGTGTCACTTTCCATACCTAATATATCTATTCTCCTGTTCTTTCTGCAGTCTCTCTTATGCAGTCCATCCTTCAGAATATCTTCCATTCTCCCATTTGTGAAGAATATTCCAGAAGATTCTATTTCTGGTCTGAGCATACATGTTCTTTGTGATACATGTTTAAGACAGCATGAAGCAGCTATTGACAAACTTCTGGATAGGTGCCCTGAAGCTGTCATACCTTATGCCCAGCATGAGTTGAGGGATGAACATCAGGTGAGTGTTAATAATCATAGCTCCCTGACACTTTTTTTCCTGTCCTCCTAAAACACAAACTGCAGTTTCATTTTAGTACCCTGTTTTTTTGTTTGTTTGTTTGTTTTTTTAATTTGATTTATATGCCGCCCTTCTCCGAAGACTCAGGGCGGCTTACAATGTGCTCAGCAATAGCCTTCATCCTTTTGTATATTTATACAAAGTCAGCTTATTGCCCCCACAAACTGGGTCCTCATTTAACCTACCTTAGAAAGGATGGAAGTCTGAGTCGACCTTGAACCTGGTGAGATTCGAACCCTGCAGTAATTGCAGGCAGCTGGTCTTAATAAGCTTAATAACAGGGTGCCTTAAACCCCTGTACTACCAAGGCTCTTTGTTTCCCCCAAAATAAGACATCCCCTGATAATAAGACCAATTGGGCTTTTGAGCACATGGCAATAAGGCCAAGCGCTTATTTCAGGGTTCAAAAAAATATAAGACAGGGTCTTATTTTCGGCGGAACACTGTAGTTTTACAAGATTGTTTTAAATCAGTTCCTCATGTAATTTTATTGTACCATAATCTAGTCAATGGTTTTAAAACTTTGAGCAAAGTGACCCCATTATATTGAATGTGGGAAGTGCTTAATTTCTATTTTGTTAAAATGGTGAAGTGGCTATACTTACCAGAACACACGGTGCAAAATTTTGAAGATTATAAAGTATTATTTATTGTTTCCTCAATGTAGTTTCCCCAGCCAGGCATTTGCTTGCCTTACCATATCTCATACTGTAAAGTGATTGTGTTCTCCTGAAATATAAACATATGGCTTTGATACTTGTTGGCTGTATAAATTGTGCAAGAGTTTCTTAACAATAACCACATATGTAGGTTAGGCTGACAATAGACCATAGATATATGGAAGTATATTGGGTTACTAACCCTGTGTGTACATTTTAAGCATCAGCAGGAAATTCTAACCTTGCCCAACGTCAGTTGTTATGTGTCCATACTTCTTAAATTTCCTAACCAGTAGAATCAGCAGGCCATCGGATTGAAAAAGACCAGTCCAGGCAATGCTCTCTGACAGTTTTAGCACTAAAATGAAAATGGAGCAATATAATTATGAGGGGTCCTTGCTTGTTTTCTTGCATATGTTTCATTACCCAAACTAGGTAACATCATTAGTGCTAGTCACTGTATGTGTTCCATTTAGAGAGACAGTGTCTTTTTAGACCCTTAGAATAACTACCCTGAGGTCCTGAATTACTCCAATAATTTAGGTAAGAGACAAGATGATAAATAATATTCAGAAAGCGAGTCTTTAGCAGTTACCACAGGCTGTTGAGCGCCACTCCCCTTGCCCTATGCTCTGCGGCATTTTGAATGGCACTGGAGCTCGCTCGCATCCCACTTCATTGGTTGATAGATCTTGAACCTCTCCTGAACAAATCACATCTTGAACACAGAGCAGCAAGTCTGGCCTATTCAAAGGTTTTCAATTTAACATGTTCACTGCCATGCTTTTATGAGTAAATATAAACAGCAGAAGAAGAAGAGTTGTATTCCTTTAAGAATAACACTCTGGATTTTCTACCTGGATTTTGTTTTCTGACTGGCTTTAGGCTTTATGGTGGATCAAACTTCTTCCTGAACTCTGTAAACGAACCAGACATGTTGGTGAAAACTATCCTGTATTTCTGTCATCACTGCAAGGTAACAAAATGAGTTTTTATAGAACAGCAGAAATGTAGAGCTTTTGCAGTACATGGAATAGCCTTTCGCTCTCAAGAGGATTTTGTGGAGTGTTTACAGTTTAGTCACTAAATTGAAGAACTGGATTTCAGTGCAAATCACATATTTTTTGTTAGATGCAGACTACAAGCAACAATCTTCAAGGAGCAACATTTGCTCATTCATTTATTAATTAAAATTTTACACCCCCCCATCTTATCTACGTTAAAAGTTGGCGGAGATACAGGTAGTACTCAACTTATGCCACAATTGGAACCAGAATTTCTGTTGTTAAGCAAGGCAGTTGTTAAGTGAGTTACACCCAATTTTGCTATCTTTTTTGCCACAATTGTTAAGCAAATCAGTATAGCTGTTCAGTGAATCAGGCAATTGTTAAACGAATCCGGTTTCCTGCCCCCATTGACTTTTCCAGAAGATGGCTGGGAAGGTAACAAATGCTATAAGCCTGATTGCTTTATAGCAATCAGGATGCTATAAGTATATGTTGGTTGCCAAGCTCTCAAGTTTTGATCTCTTGACTGATGCTATGGCGGTTATAAGTGCAAGGATCACTTTTTTCAGTGCTGTTGTAACTTCAAGTGATCAATAAATGAATGGTTGTAAGACTAGAACTATTTTTACTCAGGAGTATTAAACATGATGTTTGTATTCTTTTTGTCCAGAAACATTATCAGTCATTGCCACAGCACTGGAATTGAGAGACTTCCTTAATGTTTTACCTGAAGATGGGAATGCAGCGTTCTTCTTGCCCCACTTGCTTCAGTGCAGCAGGAGATTGGTGACTTAAATATAAGGAGAAGCATCTGCTATCTTGGATTGGTCTTTTGGGGTGCAAAGTTACTCAAATGAACAAAACTTCATGATGCAACTATTAATGTAACACTCTAAATGCTGGATATTCCAGGCATATTCCCATGTACATGGGAAAAGTAGGGTTGGATGGACCTCTTAAAGATTGTCATTTGATCTGTGGTAGCAGTACAGTACAGGTAAACTGGTGATTCTCAGCCTTGGCAGCATGAAGATGTCTGGACTTCAACTCCTAGAGCTCAGAAACACTGAGCTAAACAGATAGGGGAGATGTTGATTATATGCATCCTCAGACCCCCACCCCTAGCCTCTTCTATTTTAAACTTTGAAGCTTCCTAAAGAGCGCTGCAAAAAAATATCAATGACTCTAGATTATTTTGGTGAGAGATGAAATAGAATTAGTGCATTAAGCCTATATAAAAGTAAACCGTACCCCTCAAGCAGGTGATAACTGGGCCAAAACCTTCTTCCCTATTCTCCCTCTATTGTAACACACCTTATCCTTGCTGCTTGGGATAGGTTTTAGAAAAGTTCTATCACTCTAAACTACTGGTGGTGCATGTGAGCTGACTAGAAATCACATAAAGTTGCGAAGGGGCCTTTCTAAGTAACTATTTAGTGCAATTGTCATTCAGGGCTTTTACCTAACCATCAGTCCTAATGTGAGATGTTTAACTTATTCAATAGAAATATTTGTTTCTCACAGCTGCTAGGACAGAGAAAAGAACAATTTCATAAGAATTCTAAGAAGAGCCAGAAATAGCTTCAGAAGATTGGCTCCCGGGCAGACTATTTGTGTTGCAAACAATAAGTTTCTTCAAGTTTTCTAAAACTGAATTAGATTCGAAACTAGATTATGGAGGCAATTTATAAAGTTGGCCTAGCAAGTATCACAAAGTTCCAACATCAGTGACAAAGGTTGCTACTTCTTCGGCCTTTAATTTTTCTCATCTCTGCAGTTGTAATATGAGCCAGACCTCATTTTCTTATAATAACTTTTGAAGAACCTTCAAGACTAGTTTAATTATTTTAATAGAAGACATTTAAAAATGCTACAGAAAAGTTGTAGAATTACAAATAGAAAATAATATATCAATCATAACTAAGATAGATTTCCATACAAAAACATTCCTCTAGATTTATTTTAATTATCAGTAGGGATTTAAAAAAAATATGTCAGTATTTGGAATAATGATGCTCATCACAGTAGAACCATTTTTCCAATTTAAGAATTTGGCTGAAGTTCATAATTTCGTTTGTCTGGTGTCACTTGCTGTAAATGATAGAAAGTGAAAGTTAGTGGCTTTCAAAAGAACATTTAGTTTTAGCTAATATATACTTCAATATTCTTAATATAGCCACAAAGTAGATATGTTCTTCATTTTTCCCCTTTCATTCATATAACAAAGACTAGAATTTTAAGAAACTAGTGCTTTTAAAGTATTTGTCTATGCTACAACTAGGCAAGGTGATATACTCCAAATATTTTATGTGCAACTCCCATAAAACCCAGTAGGCATGGCTTTGAACTATAAGCTCTGTAGTCCAAAACTCCTCGTGAATATCAGGAGTTCATCAGGGTTCATAAACAGTGTAGACCTGTGATGGCAAACATGGCACGCGTGCCACAGGTCGCACACGGAGTCATATCTGTGGGAACACAAGCGTTGCCCTAGCTCAGCTCCAGCGTGCATGCACACGCCGGCCAGCTGATTGTCAGGCCTTCCAGGCTATTTCCGTCCACCAGGGGTGGGGGAGGCTGTTTTTGCCCTCCCCAGGCTCCTAGAAAGGCTCTGGAGCCTGGGGAGGGCGAAAAACAGGCCTTCCGGGTCCACTGGAAGTCAGGAAACGGGCTGTTTCTGGCTTCCGAGGGGGCCTCCAGAAGGGTTGGGAAGGCCATTTTCGCCCTTCTCAGGCTCCTAGAAAGACTCTGAAGCCTGGGGAGGGTAAAAAAACGGGCCTACCGTTATCGCGTAACAAAAGCGGAGAGAGAACGGGGGGGCGCGCACATGTGCGGGGAGGCATTGAATTATGGGTGTGGGCGGGCATGTGCGACCTCCCAACACACTCCCCCTGCTTTTGGCACGTGACGGCAAAAAGGTTAGCCATCACTGGTGTAGACTCTGAAACCTGACTTTGTGAATAGGTCCAAAGAGAAGACATCTACTTGTTTGCAGGCACCAGTTTGACTAGCAAGCTTCATTCAGGTCTGCTATTCAAGACATGGGATACTACATTTGTATTACTTATTTTCAGAGTTTCACTCCTTTTCAGAATGGCAATGGAAACAAACTAGATAGATGATAGATGATAGATAGACAGACAGACAGACAGACAGACAGATGTGTGTGTGTTAATAAAGAAAACATATAGAGACCCAAATTTCTCCCAATAGAATAAAATTAATACAAATATGCAAATATTAAAGAGATACAGCTTATTAGCACCATGAGATTAAAAACTGTACCAGTTTACTTGAACACACATACACCTTCATTAGAGAGATAAGGATTGCAGTGGTAAAAATGTTGGATTTGGACTAGAGACTCCCAAATTAAAGCCCCCATTTGATTTCTGTAGTTTGGCATGGGAGAGAAAATTCAGGGAATTCAGAAAAAAAAAAGTTGGATAAATAAAATTATACTTCCTTTCACTGGCCATTTTATGGGTCAATTTTTCTCAGCCACCTTGATGTCATCCTCAAAATACCTGTCTGGCACTGCATTGGTTATACTACATATAGATTCTAGGAAATGACTTTCAGAACTGAATAGCATCAGGTGGAAAAACTATTGCATCTGATAGTTTTTCCTCTTTCAAGCAAATTAATATTTACCTTTAATTTGGGAGCACAGTGTAAGTAGTTTCCATGCCAGCATGGATGTGGTCAGTCACATGACAGTGCAGTAGCCATGTCCCAGGATATTTTGGCCACATCTCAACAGTTTGAAATGTCCCAGGGAACAGATCATAGACATCTCCTCGGAAAGTTCTATTGTACTTTTGAAGAGATAAAAAAATAACCAATCATATATTTGTGTAGTTCTTCTAATACTAATTAATTCATTGGAAGAATGCAACAACATGAATAAAGGGCATCATAACATTTTAAATATTTTAACATATAAGCACTTTCTAACTTAAGAAAACTCAAACACTTAAACATCTATGATTACAGACTTTCAGTTACTACCATATTTAAAGCTAATTAATGTTAGTAGAAAGTGGACCAAAGTGAAACCTGTTCTGTCCTTAAGGGAAAAATTATACTGCAGCTATGGCAGTGGATTGTTGGAAAAACACTAGAGAGTGGCACTATTTTTTTCATGCATTTGTCAAAAAGTTGCTTTCAATTGAATCAGTATACAGAGTGTACAATTTCCAAATTTACAAGAATATAAACCTATGGATGTTAGGGCACTTACTAGACAACATGCATCTTTACCAGGCAAATGAAATAGAATATATTTTGCTCCACTGCTAAAATCACAAAGGGAGGAAAGAGAAAGAAATGTAAAATTGAAGGATGAAGTTTGGGCTTTCGTTCCTAGACTGGAAAGTATAAAACAATGGCCAGCCAAAATGGGCAGACTCAGGTAACTGAGTTAATTATCTGACTTAAGAAAGTTTTATGTGTTCAGTTGTCCTACATATTGCTTTATCTCTTAGCTAAGTATGTTGTTTCTTTTTAATTCTTTCTTTAAAAATGCTTATTTTTACCTTGTAAATGAAGCTATGGCCATGGAAATGTGCCGTGTGCATATCAACTTCATTCCCCATTCCTAGCAAGTACCAGTTTACTTTGTCTCCAACGTGCATTGTAAGACCATGCAAGTTTCCAAACACTTTTCCGTTAATGGCTAAAGAAATAAAAATTGTTATAAAAGTGCTGTTTATTTCCAGTTATTGAGCTACATACCAATCTAATAAATAAACACCAAGCCTTATCAAAAGCCCAAAATAATTAGAAGTGGCCTGCTAACTCAAATTGAGCTCAAAGATCAGAGCAATCTAAGAATCCTTCTAATTACCCTTGGATAATCCTCATGATGTGCATTCAAGGATCAATGGTTATCTTCCTTCAATTACAGAGTTTTGTCTCTGATACCAATAGGCTGAGTTTAGTATAGTTGGCACCATAGTGTTTGTATAGTGTTTTATCTCAGGACAATTTTACCAATGGGCCACAGGAGAAACCGAAACTCTTGTTCTCTACTGCCTTCCTCAGGCTAAACAAGTTCGCATATATCTTTATGTTCTCTACCACAATCTTATATATAATATATATATTACCCTGTTTCCCCAAAGATAAGACCCTGTCTTATAATTTTTTGAACCCCGAAATAAGCGCTTGGCCTTATTTTAGGGGAGGTCTTATTATTTTGGGGTGCATGGAGCAAGATGGGGCTCCTCTTGCCATCTTACCTGATTTCCAGCTCTGCTTTTAAATATTTTCAGAAAGGGCTTATTTTTGGGGGGATGCTTATTTTAGCACATGTGCTCAAATGCCCAATTGGACTTATTATCAGGGGATGTCTTATTTTTGGGGAAACAAGCAGTGGCAGGTTGTTCCCGGTTCACACCAGTTCGCAAGAACCGGTAGTAAAAATTTGTAATAGTTCAGAGAACCGGTAATAACATTGGCTGGCCACACCCCTGAATCGGTCCCCGGCCCAGTCGCCGTTCGCTTACCCCACCCACCTCATCAGAATTTTTTTTTTTTACTTTTGAAAGCATTTTTTCTACAATCTGTTTGGCCAAAAAAAATGCTTTTAAAAGTTAAAAAAAAAAGCCTCTGATGATCATGTAGCTCAGCTGGGATCGTCAGAGGCTTTTAAAAGCATTTTTATTACAAAAAAATGCCTTTAAAAGCCTCTGGCAATCCCAGCTAAGTTGCCTGATCATCAGTGGCTTCTAAAAGCATTTTTTTCTGCAACCTCTTAAGATTGTAGAAAAAATGCTTTTAAAAGAAAAAAAAAAGTTGGCCACGCCCACCC